CCTAGTGGTTTCTAGAATTTCTAAAAGTAGAATGGGAGGCAGATCTTTTAGTTATCAGGCTTCTCTCCTGTGGAACCAAGTATCTATGAGGCAGACATCTTGTCTACTTTTAAGGCATGGCGTAAAACTTCAATTTTTGACAAGAGTTTATAGCTAGAGTGGCTCTGGTTATCCTGAGCTATTTCTATAGTTATGCTGCTATAGGCTTAGACTGCTGTAGGGCATAGGGACCCCTTTTCATCATTCTGCTTCATTCTATTCTCCTATCCTGCAGTATTTGTTAGATTAACCTCTAACTTTATGCTCTCTGCTTTTTCTCACAGTGGCTTCATCTAGTCTATCCCCGTTTGGCTATGATACTATCCCGGAGAGAAATATTAGCTGTGTGCCTCCATCAACACCTTTATTTATTGATGTTGGAGCTTGGCCTGTTTTACAATGTAGTCCTGTTTCTCTTACTGTGACTAACTGTATGTGCTCTCTTTCATCCTCTGACATGGGAGCTGGCCTGGAACTTGTCTGCCTTGCTGTTTCTTTCCTTGTTGGGACCATCTGTGGAGCTAATTAACAGTTACCTTTTGTGTCTCTGCTTCTATATGTATGTCTGCTTCTGGTAATCAGATGGCCGCTCACACTGAGCCCGTTTCTGCTTGAGGTTTCTTCCTATTAAAATTGAGTTTTCCTCTCCACTTTCCCTACATGCATGCTTGGTGTGATCGATTGCTCTTGAGTCTGAGGCGATGTAATAAGCTGGTTTTCCTTAGATAGAAAATTTTAAACCAATCAGACTGTATGATCTGTCCTTAAAGTGCCTTGAGATGACGTGTGTTAAGAATTGGCACAACACAATTGGCAGGAAGGTGTTAATGAAGATATATTACCCTTCTTGACATTTTTATTATTGTTACTAGATTCCAAATGTGTAGAAAATAGCTCCTAAAGCCACAGAATATGTATCATAAGGGAACAGAATACTTATGTAGGCCTACAGTCACAGTAAATAGAATTTTTTTCAATTCTGAGGTTTTATGCTTCTGTACACAATAAAATTACTATTGGACCTGGTGATAATTAATTATCACAGGTCTTGATTCATTTTTTAATCTGTATTAGGTTTTTACCCAAACATGATTTGCAATTTTGCAGCTTTGTTAAGAGATCTCTGCTCCAAGGTGATATGCAGTTGTATTATTTTGAATACGATGATTAACCTTCCTAAATCAAATAAATAGATATGTTACATACAAATAACATTGGTAAATAATTATTAAACCTATGATCTAGATGTGCAGGGCAACAGATAATGCTAAATAATTATTTTATAAACCAAGATCAGCATAAATACAGATATTTGTAAAATACTATATAATTAAGTGGTTTCTAAATGGATTACGTTTATTTGCAGGAGTTCATAAATTTAGTATATAAAAAAAATCTCACTGTTTTGTCTTTTTCGTTTCTGAAAATAAAAAAGTATTTTAAAGAAGGATTGATTTTCTTGATTGGACCTTAGCTCTCCAACACAACAGCTTGAATCATCCCCTAACTGCTCCAAGTCAATGACTGTATATAATCAGCAGGTTTCCCAATCTGTCTGTATGATCTAATGAAATAGTTTCTATAAAGTGCCTTGAGATGAAACGTGTTGAGTACTGACACTGTATTAATAAACTGAATTAACTAAAATGTAATATTTGTGCCATTACAACACAAGAAGAGATCAGCCATTTGACACAGCATTGAATTTTTAATCCATCTTAAAGAAAATATTTCATAAATTTTTGACAAACTTTTGTGAAAAGATTCCCCACAAGCTTAAATAGCTTTATTAATCTAATATTATAATAAAAACTTGTATGAGAAAACATGATTTATAAATTGGAAAAAAAAAAAAGCATTTAAAACTTTTATGCAGTAGAGTCGTCTACAAACAATTCCAACTTTAAATTCTTTTTTTTTTTTTTTTTACTGAGTAGACCCACATGCCATGGCTACCAACTGGAAACTTTATGGGAAGGTGTATTTAGAACAAATAAAATGTGTATTTTTAGCTAGCCCTCTTTACCCTCATACCATCCAACATCTTCTCCCATTTATTCTGTCAGGGGTTTAGAAGCCTTCATTGGTATCAGTGTTCTCAATACTGTAAAGGGAAGCCCTGTGTTTACATCATTAAGCTTTCTCTCCCTGATTCTTGCTGAGAGGAGATTAAATGGAGCAAACACCTTAAATAACACTTCATAATGTATATGTATTAAATAACTTAGATATGACAGCATTTTTTGACAGAAATTGGAATTAGACCATAGAAATGGCTTGTGGTAAAGATGGCAGCGCTAAGCACCAGACTCACTTCTTCAGGAAGTCGGCACCATATCCCAGTTAACGAAGCATTTTATACATACAGCCTGCCACATCATCACATCAATAAACTATGCATGTTTATAAATGAGGAGAAATATCTGGCTTCAGCCATATCAAAAGATGACATTGTTTTTAGATCAAGGCTATTCCGAATGCAGAGTGACAGATATCTCATCCACTCTGTTTGTGCTCATTTCATTCTCCTTATTAAACTGCTTGGTAAAACATGAATCTTGAGACTTAACATGCACATACATGATCCATAAAAATAATCCTAACAATACAAAAGAAAACGAAAATGTAATTTCCTATTAAAAAAAACAACAACAATAAATTGATGGCAGCAGAAAAAAAACTCATGATCTTTGAGATTTCTGTAAACCCCCAGCATGCACCACTGCACATGGAAGTCAGATGGCTTTTAATTTACTGCAGTCGTTACTCAAACCACAATCACAGTGGTTGCAGTTTTGATCAGTGCCGAGGCTCTGAATTACAGAGCGCAGCTGGGATGTACAGACACTTTTAATGTTTATTTTTAACCCATGTGTGGCGATCTAAAAATGCTCCGCTCAGTTATAGTTACATGCATAGTTTTTTGAGGGGTCTATGTGTGTGTGTAGCACATTTAGATTTTAAACTTGTTTGATATGTGCCAGATTTAGACGGGGAAGAAACCAATGGCTGTATAATGGTTAAAAATAAAATGTGAAAGGAAGCCGTGTAATTACATGTATAATTGCATACAACAAAAGCTGGCTCTGTAACATAAAAGTCTGGCTCAACGTTTTGGGAGATCTAGTTAGCTATTACTGACAGGGGAGTTCTGTTAGTACTGACAGGGAAATTTGTAACATTGCTATAGGTTAATGATAAATGTGAATTTCTTGTGTTACAACCTCAAATTTCCATGCACATCGTAAGTGTTTGATGTTCTATGTTTTAAGTTCTATATATCATAGACTACAGGGCTCCAACTTTTAAAATCGAAAAAAACCATTGTGTCCTTCATTACCTGGTGAATGAAACTCATTTAGGTCTACACATTTTACATGGCTTTATATGATGGAAGACCTTTATTGTATTTTAAACTGATACCTTTTAAGAAAATTGCTTTCAGAAATACAGTACCTACATTACCTCATGCACATGCAATCACAACCAATAGGTGAATTAATTCGCTCAGCATACTGTATGAGGCAATGTCATAGCATAAAGCATGGAGTGACTTGCGTTCCATTATTGTGCAAGAAAAAAAAATGTCAATTTGAAAAGAGATACATTCCAGAAAGGAAAACGTTTTAATCCAAAAAAGGTTATGAGAGACCTTTGTTGTTTTCTTAGATTGTGTTTTTTCATATTTATTTTTTTAGTTAATTTTCATGGTTTTTTTTTCATATTTGTTTTAAAAAAAAATTTATTGCGTTTTACAGACGTTATATTTTAAACATTTTCTTTTTTTTTTATTGGTTTAAATAAAAAAAATTTTAAATCGAGTTTATTTTACGAATCATGCTCTCCTCATTTCTGGGATGGGCTTTCCTCTGGAGTGAGGAGTGATGATTAATTGGTCTGGATGGAGGTTTGTAACAACAGTTTCACTGGTCAACGAGCATGTCCAAGAGCAAATGTTTGTTTTGGGCTTGTAGTGAAAAAAAAATGGATCTGTAAAAAATAGTTTGAAAAGAAAGCAATGTGAACAGCAGAAATAAAAAAAGGAAAAATTACACTCTGTAAAAAAAAAATATTGAAAAAGTAAAAAAAAATTACATTTGGAAATTCCTGTTTTCAAAACTAGTTCTTGCAACTGTATGTGTGTTTACCTTCAGCTTGTCCTAACATGTATTTTGAAGAGTTGCATCAAAAAAGCTTAATAGAAATAGCAAAATTGAAATATAACTCCAAATTTGCCAGAGAAAAAAAATTCCCACCTTTTTGATGTGGCTTTTGGGATTTGTGAAAAAGGGTTGATGTGAAAAATTTAAAATGGGACTTTTTTTGAATCAGCTTTGAAGTTGCGAACTTTTACTCACATGACTCATCAGTGGTTTGTGATGTCGGCGTCTTCCCAGATATTCCTATTGTGCCTAAATATGGCTGGAAGTAATATCGCTATTACTAACAGACATGATAACGTAAGAAATATACTTCCTTGATCGCAACACATTCATTAAAATGTTTGAAGTAATATTGGACGACGCAACCTCTACGGTGCTTGGTTAATTCACTTCAAACTAAATGAAAAAACAACAAATTCGCATTTTCTTGTTTTTGAACTTTTTAAAGTTTGCTTAAAATTTGAATTTCAGTTTAATGGAAACAGGGTTAATAATGGAACAAAATTCACTCCTTAAGGAAGTTCATTATTTTTCTTTAGGACTCCATTGCAGATAAGCTAATTTGCATATTTCACACTATAAAGTAGGGAAAAATAACAGCAAAACATTTTTTTTTTCTTTACAGTGCTCCTGGATTTGTTGTGTTAACTTTTTTCACCCAAGGTAGCTTTCTTTCCTTTTTACTTCTTGCATTAATGTTTGTTTCAGTTTTATTTGACAACATAAGATGTTCTGTTTTCAATATTTTCAGTCCCGTTCTCTTTTGTGCACTTTTCCTGTTTGGATTACTCCTCTTTGGGCCGATTCTTTTATCCTTCAAACCCATGGATAATCTCCTACCATTTGTGTCTTCAGTAGTCTGGTTTGTCTTTGCTTTTACCTCAGCTCTGTCAGATGATGACACAGCTGTCTTCTTTATTTGTGAGTTAGATTTCTTGCCCATGCTGCTCTTTTTTGTTTGTGCATCCTTCTCCTTTAGCTCTTTCTCCTTCTTCAGTGATTTATTTTTACTCCTGGTGAAAGCCTTGGAGGGTGCTGTTCTGTCGAGGCTTGCAGCAGCGGTCATGGTCGCTGTGCTGGCTCTGGCCATGGTTGATCTGGGCTGACCACTTGTCACTGGTGGTTTGGTGGTCAGTTTGTATTTCCGTGGTGGAGGTCTGGTTGGTTTCTCGTTTGCATTCAGCAAAGTCACTAAAACGGCACATACATAATATAGTAAGTACCAATTTTAACAGCTCTGCAGCCACATATGTTCTACATTGTAAAAAGGGGGAAAAATGTGGATTTGGCATCCAAAGTAGGCCTGGGTTTTTAAAATGTTCAGCTTTTAAAGGAAAAAATGCTGGATTTTGCACCCAAAGCAGGCCTGGGTTTTAAAAAAGTTCAGCTTTTTATATTTTTGTATGTACCCTATGTGGTTATTTAGAGAATATGGTAATAAGAAAATTAAATCATTATAAGGACAATTTTGGAGTGAGGTTCTGATAAAAGATTAAAAAGCAGTAATTATCCTGCCTGTATAGATGCCTGTTTTATCATCTTTATTCAATGAAGAGTAATATTAGTCAGGATGGAATGTGAACAGTAGAAGTCAATTCCTGTAACTAACTCAAAAACTTGTACATTTGGGATACAAATTAGTTTTTTTTCCAGAATTTATGGCATGCATTTAAAAAGGCAAAATCATAATACTCTTTTGTGATTGTTAGGTCCTAAAAATGAACTAAGATATATTTTTTCCCCATCTGCCTGGTCCCTGCTGGCTTAGTTTTTTAGAAAGCAAGGCTTCACATTACACTGATATGCAGATGACACTGAGATTTAACAACCGACAAACGATAAATGAAGACTTCTTTCCATATGCTTTTCTGGTAAATTTTAAAGTTTAATTGTTCATTTAAAATTTGAAATATACTGGAGACTTATCTTAGTGATCTATTATTTTACTAGATCACTAAAGTCTGCTGACTGATATATTTTAGCAGTCTTTCCAGGCTATGGTTAAAAAATTGCAACAATTATTTTGAAGCATTGTTTTTATTCTACGGAATTAAAACTGTTTTAAAGTGATGTATTTTCTGTCTCTGATATAAGCATTTGCTTTCTTGATATTAGCACCTTTATCGGCTCCTTGTTGCTTTAAAATGTGCTTTATAAATACAATAAGATGACGCAACTCTATTTTAGTACTTAAGAAACATACTTTTTGATTAAAATGCTGGATAATATGTTCATCTTAACATAATTTACAATCAGTATTAAATCTACTTTAAATTAAAAAATTTCTAACATTTTGAAAATCCACAAATATTCCTTTAAGTTGAAACTAAGGCACTTTAACAGCGGACAAATGAAACAAGACAGCTATATATCTTTACTGCCACTTGACAGGACAAGTGGCAGTAAAGAAAATGTATCACCTACTGTAAATGGCTTTCTTTGGTATGTTTAATGCTATCTAAGATGCTACTTACGTTCCCTGGGGATAAATGGAAACTTTTTCCCCCTCACTTTAACGGGGAGCGGTTTCTGCTTGCATTTCCCTGGAGGAGCTCTCCTGCAAAGGTTAAACTCATCAAGTTTTCATTCAGTAGTTTTAAAGATATTCTTTCATCACATTTAATTATTTCTCCATGTTTTAGAAGCTAGGAAGTGAGCAATAAAAATACATAATTTACCCAGGTCAAAATAGCTTGTTTGTTCCTTTACTGACAGGGAGCATACAATAGGACTAGCAGCGTCTTACTCAACTCTTAGTCATGATGGATTATTACTAGAAAAAAGCAACCCACCTCAATAGAGGTTTCTACATCTAAACCTATAAATTGTGTTGCCTGAGTTGCTCACTGTCTGTAAGGAATTCAAAGCTTTGAAATTAGTTCAAGTAAAGGTCAAAATTCCTTGACTTGCCCCCAAGATATTTCCTCGAAAGAACAACTTCAAAATGAGTAACCATAAATATGTTAGGTGCTAAAAAGGCTAGTAAAAAAAACTTTAAACACGTATCCAAAACATTATTACAATCTATTCTATTTTATACTGTTGGCCTAATTCTAAAATAAATCTCTGGGTCTGCAAAATAGCAGCACACTGCTCCCCTAGGGATGGGTAAATTCTCTTTGACAAATAAAGATTATCTTTATCATCAGTTAACATTTATTCATTTACTCAAAAATAATTAAGAAAAACTCACCCGTTTAACTCTGACAGACAAACAAAAAAACCCCACTAAAATGGAGTGAATTTTGTTCCATTATTGCTTAACACAAAGACCACATTTTGTAAATGGAAATTTAAAGAAAAGGCAATCCGGAAATGAAACCTAAAAAACGTCCATTTCGGATTTCACTTGCAGCCAAATACAAATGCTTACTCTTGATTTGCACATTGCACAGTAAAATGTTGCAACCTATTCTCATTATGAGTGCGTATGAAATCGTACGAAAAGTTATGCACCGTAATTTTGTACGTTTTGGACATTTTTTTCGTCGTATGCGCATGCGCATTTGACGCACCATTCATGAATATAGAATATAAATTACAATTAGCCCTAACCCTGACCCTAACGCCTAACCCTAAGATATAAAACAGCAAGAAACGTAGTTAGAGACATGAATAAGTGCTGATTGCACTGTTTTTCCCAAATTTACTTCAGTCCGCGGATCTGCTTTTTTTTTTCTGTCTGCCAGCGCATGCGCACTGATGTGTTTTTTTGAGGAAAAACGTCCAAAACTTACAAAATAGTGTGCATAACTTTTCGTACGATTTCATACGCAGTGATAATGAGAATATGTTGAATGTTTTTGCTAACGTCCAGAACACCAACAGAAGCCCAACTTCGCTCCTCACTCCATAGAAAAGCTCGACCACAGAAGTGAAGAGAATGTAAAACACAATTTGAAAGGCATGAAATTAATAAAATGCAATCTAAAAAAAATTATTAAAAAAAATAGAAAATAAAGAATTAGTTAAAAAAAAAAATTGTCAAAAATAAAAAAAAAATATATAAGAAAAAAATGTGGTTTATGAAATTCAAACCAAATCTTAGAAACCAGCTAAGTTACTCTCAAAACCTTTTTTTTTTTTTTTGTTGGGAATGTTTTTCAACGTTTTAGTTTTGGATATCATTTAATTTTCTAATTCTACTTAAATTTCCATTTACAGAGGTGTCCTTTGCTTGCAACAGTTCGTATCAATCTGACAAGAAAAACTGGCCTGACATTAAGAACTGATGTTTATTCCCATCTTGTTGCTGGATTTTTTCCAGGAGAGGAAGATGAGGATGTTCGCTTGCCTATTTGACAGTGGTGAAGCAAAGGATTGTGGGATGTTTAACTTCAGTTTCGATCACTGTCTTAGTGCAGCTTCCTTTGTATTTATTAGCGGTATTCCCTGAGCCTCTTTGGCTTCATTATGCTTCAGCTGCTCCACAACTCCTTTAGAAAGCTCCTTTAGTTGATTGGTCATTCTGTAATCTAGAGTATATCAGCTCACTGATTCTCTTTGTTCACTGCTGGATTATTCAGTTTCACTGCCTTAAAGGGATAGTTCGGGATTTTTGACATGAATCTGTATGGCATCCCCATCACCAGTGTCATGCAATCACACTGACTTACCCCTGGCAGCATCCTGTGAGCAGAGTTCTCGTCCAGCTTTGGTCAAGCCGAAAGTAGTCCGGCAGGTTTGCTAGACCCAGCGAAATAAAACGTTTCTCTTCCCAAAACATTATGTGTTCAAAAGAGAGATATTTTTGCATCCCAAAAACATTGTAGTGGAAAAAGTCACACGTCGTTATCACTTGGTCCTATTTTCTCTCTGTTCGTATCAGTGCGCGCCGTCATTCTGACAGCGAGCTCAACAACAGCCAGATGCATGTCTCGCTCCGCCTAGCTAGGAGCTACGAACTATCCCTTTAAGCTTGTTTTACTGCCTCAGTCTTAACCTGCATCCCATGGTCCATTCTTCCAGTGATTATCTTTATACGTTTTACTATTTTTCATCAGTTAGATCTCACAGCTATACTCTGCACTTTACTACCTTTCCATCATCAAATGCATTAAGGTTTGTGGCTGTAAAATGTTAAAAAGGAAAATGAACACTTTTTGCACATGCAGTCAGCGTATAATACTATACCTCGAAGGGTCCATGAATTTAAAGACTGTTCCAGAAGGAGACATGGCACTAGGGTACGAAGTGGCCAAAAAATACAGCTCCCCTAATAGAAAATAAGTAGAAGAACGTCACACGGTAATTTTTGAATGTAATGAATAAAACTGAGTCAAGCAGACCTGCTTCATCTTCGCCAAAAGAGATTATGAATTTGTGGTGATGATTGATGAGTCCAGGAAACGAGCAGGTTGTTGCGCTACCCATGCATATACTCTTCTCCTTCCAGGTTCCTGCTGTTTTATCTTCCTCCAGTGCCATGAGTCGACTAAATGAGTGACATGACTCATAGAAATAAGTATTATTTTGAACTGAGAGGAGCATAAAAACCACAGCTGCTGGTAGTCAAGCAGAAAATCTTTATTTTAGTCTATTTGGAAAAGATAAATACAATCTTACCCACTCATGAAGTCTCCAAACATGTAGAGGCCATTCAGATTGGGTGATTCACATCCTCTGTACACATACCCCCCCGTCACAGACTTCCCGACATGATGGCTATATACAAATATGGGGAGGATGTCATCTGTTGTGGCAGAGAAACACACGTTGAATTTAACTCAAATCTGAAGTGGATGGAAAGCATGTTTTAATGCCAGAAACACCAGGTGGAGAAAGGATCTGAAACTAGCTCCTGGTTCTCGTGCTAATGGGAACAGAAAGGAGTTCTTACTCAGAGAGGAATTCTGGCACAGCTTAATGTCGTAGCACTCAAAGCCCTCTTTCGCCCTCCAGCCGTAGTTTCCCCCGTTGATAATGATGTCTATTTCCTCATAGCGATTTTGACCAACATCTCCACAGAATATCCGACCCCTGCCATAGCCGCTCACTGGGTCACCCCGATCCACGGAGCATCGCCACATGTTTCTTACCCCGTATGCAAACACTTCTGGTCGAGCATCTGGGTCTCCTGAGAATGGGTTGTCAGAGGGGATCCTGTACGGTTTCCCCCCGGAGTCACTTCCATCCACATCAATGCGCAGTACTTTTCCCAACAGAGCACTCCTGGATAATGAGAAAAGATTTGGCTCATCCCAAAACCAACAATTCACTATAATAAGTGGAAACGCTGTGTCTTTAATTTTTTCAATTGTGGCAATGGGAATAGGATTAGTTAATGGAATTTCTTTGGACCTTTTTTGTAAAAAAAAAAAAAAAATGCTTAGCTCTTACGGTACCATAAATGGTTTAAATAGCAACTAAAGATTTTTTTCCTGCCGTCACCCCTGGCAACCCCATAGCATTTCACTATAAAAGCACAGGTAAAACCTAACATCACGGACGGCTGGTAAATTGTTCTCTATGAAACACTTTTGGATTATCTTGGAGAGATCTCCTTGAAAAGCTAAAAAAAAGACTGAAAAAAGAGTCACCTTTCATTCATCCTGAACTGCATTTGGATGGTGGTTGGATTGCACCAACCTTCAAAATAAAAACTGTAAAAATTATTTTATCCATCTGACAGGTATTGTTCAATAGGAGTGTCTATGTTTGGCTTTCTTTCCTCTCTTCTTACCCTCTAATCAATACACCTGTTTTTTTGTTGAACAATTTTTTAGCTCAATTTATTATCTGCATGATAAATCTATGTACTTGTTTTATCTTGGAAAGTACCCAGATGTTGTTTCTCGTGATATCATGCTGAATGAGTTGAACTAAAGGTATGGTGGAGGATGTTCTTGATCCAGATGGATCATCTAAATAAGTTGTTCTCCTTATCGTCAGTCATACTGGTGAGATGTTTACGTAAGGTTGTCCTATGTGCTCGTCCCCAGGTTGCTATCTTACCGGTGGTTAGTCTGACATAGTGGAAAAATTGCAAATCTTCTTTTGGAAAGTAAGCTTGTATGAGCGATGCAAACAACAACTTTTAAACAGAGCTTGCACGAGGAGAAATGGACTAGTGCACGCTCTTGCACGCGTTTAATAGACGTTCCCTCTCAGTAGGGAGTACAGGGTTGTGCATGTGCTTTTTTTTTATTAAGCGGAGAGGGCTGGTCTCTTCAAAAATCCTCCACTACACCTTTAACTGATTAGATTCAGAGCAACCTGGAGGCCCTTACCTGTTTTGCGCATTGCCATGCTTTCCAAACGGATCCCCAGCTTTCCCTCCGTCTCCAGTGAAGATGTAAAGGTAGCCATCTTGACCAAACAGCAGCATGCCTCCATTATGATTGGCAGCAGGTTCCTCAATTTCTAAGACAACCCTAGTAAAAAAAAAGAACATTGGGAAAACACTGTTAAGGATATCACAGTGTGTTCTTCTCCACCTTTGCATTTATACTTAAGATTTTTTTAATGCCTGAGTAAGTTACAGCCTTCAAAAATGATCAAAGGTATGTTTAGCTATAAGAAACAAACCAAATGTTGCCACCCATGGCCTTCAGGAAAATTCTAACTTGAAACATGCAGGTCCTCACACCAAAAACAACAAAAACCATCTTCACCTCCCGATCTACTAAATTAATGGGCAGGTCTAAAATTTACCAAAATAATCAAAAAAATTCCAAATATAAAAATTATAGATCTTGGTTTTGTCAGGAATCCAGTTTGTGTGGGTTGTGTTTTCTCCCTCCACCACCAGGTGGCGCCTGGTTCTCGTTGGC